ACCCGCGGAGTTTGGAGAAAGGAGGGAGCTGCTCTTAACAACAAGCAGGGCACAAGACAGCAGAGAAAGCATGGGAGGCAGAGCAAGGGCCTGACACATGCCCCCCCCTCCCCCCCCGCCAGTTCCAAGGGGCTCCCCTAAACGGAAACTTTTCTGTAACCCGCGCGAACTGCTCTCGAAAGAATCAGCACCCCGACTGCCCCAGGGCTGGCATCCCAGTTACCCCAAAGCTGGAGGGTGAACTGAGGCGCAAAGACCACAGGGACATGCCCCTGGCTACAGACTGGCTAGGGCAGATGGCTACAAGGGGTTGGTTCACTAGACGAGGGGCCCTGGAGGAGTTTGTCCAGGATGCTGTTGGGAAGTTTGGTCCTGTCTCTATTTACCAAGCAAACTAGTGGTATTCCTCCATGCCCTCTGCTTTTGGAGGCCGCTTTGTCCAGAATGGTAGTGCTGACATCTACCCAGGGGCGAAGAATAAAAACCAAACCCCGCCGCGCAGGCAACACTTGAAAGAATCTGCATTGCGGCGCGGTGAAAGGCAGGAATGAACAGAAAACATCCTGATACTTCAGCTGGATGTGTTTCCAAATGAAAGGATGTTTTGGGGAGGGTGGCTGGTGAACATCTTCTGTGTTCCTGATTTCACAGTTTAAGGATAATATTTTAAATACATAATGACAGGGAAGCAGATAACAGCCCTGAAGAGACTGAGGAGGAGAATATTTAGCTATCCATCCATCCACACATGTGGGGGCAGGGAGATTATGTAGGAATAATATGGCTTTCAGTTTTCTTTCTCTGGTGTTTTTTTCCTTTCTCTGTAAATTTCAATTGTCGTATTCTGCAGCTAATGCGTGCTAGGGAGGAGAACTCCTAAATGCTCACTTTAATGGTTGGCTGTGTGATTTCGGCTGCTTTTAAAAAAACTGTTGAAAGCAACTTATTATGGAGGGTGATGAGAGAAATCTAAAGATGCCTTTATGCAATCTGCACAGTGAGACTGGAACAGGATGATATGTGTTGGGGCTGATACATCTCTATAGCTTAAAAGACAGGTTTACATCTTTCAGACTTTCTCCACTGTAAAGTTTCCTGTTTTTCCTTCCTTTACACATGCCTGTCTATCTGCTGTTCAAACTGTGGTGTTTTGCTTCTTCCCTTGGTTAGACAGCTACCGCCTAATTATTTTACTAGTAAAATGGGCATACAATTAAATGTATTTCTCATAGGAATACACCTGTTACAATAACAAAAATCAGCCTATGCAAATACATGGAATACAATACATTTCTGTGTACAAGTATTATTAGCATCGTGTGTTCTTAAAAGATGAATGCTTCTATAATTTGACCATCGTAAGTTAAAATAAGCTAAACTATTTAATTGAGTGGAATCCTCTAGAGGAACCGTTGCTGAAAAAAAGAAAGTCGTATTTCTTTCTACACCTGCTATTCTTGGAGCGCTCGGTTCACTTCAGGTTCCTTGCTCCATTTAAAATGGTGGTTTCTGATTTTGGCTGTGATGTTGCACGATAAATGTAAGAACGGGTAACTGTTTGCTTGACTCTTAATTCTTCTGTTTTGCATTCTAATTTATCAACCCAGAATAGGAAGGGACAGATTAATTTCTTGTTTAAACCACTGACCCACATAGCTTCAGTGGGAACGTACGCATTTCACAATTGCAGCTTCTGATCTTTGCACACAAGCTGCAATATGACAAACTGATCTGCACAGGTGGAAAAACCACTCATTTCACTGGGTCTGTATGGGGACGATGGCTCATTGGCTGAGATCGGTAGCTTGCTAATCTCACCCTGAATAAGAAAAACGTCTGGTGGGTGAGTAAATTTTTCCACTAATATCATGGTAGGGCAATTAGGTTTTGTGCTTGATCTAGCAAATTCTCCTGACAATTTTGCAAGGCTGATTTGGCAGGCAGCTTATGTCTTCCCCTTGACTGAGAAAAGTCATGGTCTACGTCCCATTCCTTAAGCATATGCATAACACTACCCATGCGAGCAGTTCACGTTGCGTCAATGTGGCTGGAAACTTTTCCTGTACATTGTTTTGAAGATGGGCAGATACCACCTATTTATCTTAGTATTTTTGTCACAGTTTTCTGCATACTAATTCCTATTTAGGCAGATGAGATTTTTCCTCTTTTTTGATATTTTCCCTTAGTACCAGTATTAATGGTCCCTACTAGAAGCAGGGGAAGGGGGGAATTAAGATAAGAATTTTCAACAATAGATTTCATTTCAGCAGTCCCTGTAGGACTATCCCAAGCCCTTCACAGTTACTGGTAGATTAAATTACTTAATGATAGAAAATTAAAACAATTAAGATCAGTAATAAAATAAAATAAAAATAAGCCCCCAAATCTTTCTCATCTAATCCTCTTGAAAATAATTAATTTTTTTTGTTAGCTATGGGGCTGCATCTGTCACATACTCTTAAAAACATGGTCCATGGCACTAAATCTTTCTTAAGCAGTTTTGTCACCCTACCGTACTTCAATCTGGAGACACCAACTTTTATAAAAATAACTACTCTATGGATTTGGCCTTGTATACAGAGTTTCTGCTGATCATCAGAGACCTCATCAGATTAAGTTAAACGTTGCCCAAATTTGGGCTCAGCTTGGACTCAGGCATTTTGGCACATCCCTCCATGGCTGCT